CCCGCGGGCTCAGGCAATCCACTCATTTCAGCCTCCCAAAGGCGCGGGATTACAGGCTGAGCCACCGAGCCCGGCTGTAGGTTCATTGTTACTTATTGTGCAATAGTAATTTGTTTGGTGTCTTCCACCTGGTGTTTTCCTGTTGAAGCAGACAATTCAGTCTGGTTTTCTTCTTCCCACATTAGTAATATGTAATTTATTATCCAGTCTATGCACCACTGTAAAAGCACTTTACACATTCTCTTTCTATGTAATGCCAGTTGATTTTCTTTTTACATATATCTCAGCATATATTCCATCTCTTTATTTTCTTTTCTGTGCAATTTCAATGGAAAACTTCAAGAAAATATACATTTTTGAAAACTTTGTGCTGGCATAACTTTGTCCTATATAATCACCAGCAATCTCTTATGCTCCTGAGAGGGGACATCTGAGTGCAAAGAGTTAATGTAGCTAAGTTATGTTTTGTATTTAAGACAAACTGCTTATAGAAGCACATACTTTGGTCTTGCTTTTATAATTCCATTCAACCTCTGCCGTTTAATTGGTGTGTTTATACCAATTATTGTACAGTTAGATTAAAATCTATCTTAGCCGGGCTCGGTGGCTCAGCCTGTAATCCTGAGCCTTTGGGAGGCTGAGGTGGAGTGGATTGCCTGAACCCGAGTGTTCGAGACCCGCCTGGGCAGGTGAGACCTCATCTCTACAATATAAATAAAATAAAAAAATTAGCTGGGCGTGGTAGCACGCGCCTGTAATTCCGGCTACTCGGAAGGCTGAAGCGGAAGGATCGCCGGAGCCCAGCAGGTCGAGGCTGTGGTGGCCAGGAGCGGCCACTGAACTCCAGTCTGGGCAACAGAGTGAGACTCCAACACAAAAAAAAAAAGTCTACCATCTTACTAGTTTTCTTCCTTGTCTCTTCTGCTCTTTGTTTCCTACTTTCCTTGTTTTCTACCTACTTTTGGCTTAGATGGGTACTTTTTATGGTTACATTTTATATCTACTTCTTGCTTATTGTATATGTGTAAAAATTTTACAAAGTTTTTAGTGGTTACCCTAGAGTTTACAATAAATATCTTGTGTTAATCATAGTGGATCTTTGAAGATGATCATACTGTTTTATGTATGTATACTTACAGCAGTACACTCCCAATTTCATTCTCCTATCTTTTGTGCTATTGTTGTCATACATTTTACTTTTATATATGCTGTAAACTCAAATAATTCTATTTTTTCTGCTTTTAATAATCTTTTTTATTATTATTTTTTGAGTTGGAGTCTCACTCTGTCGCCTAGGCTGGAGTGCAATGGCACACTCACGGCCACCCCAGCATCGACCTGCTGGGCTCTGGTGATCCTTCTACCTCAGCCTTCCAAGTAGCCAGAACTACAGGTGCATGCTACAGTACCCAGCTGGTTTTTATTTTTTTTATTGTAGAGAAGAGGTCTCGCTAAGTTGCCAGAGCTGGTTTTGAACCCCCGGGCTCAGGCATTCCACTCGCCTTGGCCTCCCAAAGGGCTGGGATTACAGACTGAGCCACCAAGCCAGGCCATCTTTTTACTGCTTTTAATCACTCTATAAGATTCTTAAAAGTGGCCAGGTGCAGTGGCTCACGCCTATAATCCTAGCACTTTGGGAGGCCAAGGTGAGAGGATTGCCTGAGCCCACAGGTTCGAGACCAGCCCAGGCAACTTGGTGAGACTTTATCACTACAACACATAAAAAAATTAGCCGGGGCTTGGTGGCTCAACCTGTAATCCCATGCCTTGGGAGGCTGAGGTGAGTGGATTGCCTGGACCCGTGGGTTTGAGACTCGCCTGGGCAACTTGGCAAGACCTCATCTCTACAATAAATCAAAAAATTAGCTGGGCGCGGTAGCGCGTGCCTGTACTCCAGCCTGGGTGACAAAGAATGAGACTCCAACTCAAAAAAAAGGACAGTAAAAAGTATTGATTATATTAATTTTAGCCATCTCAGAGATTTTTATTTTTTTGTGTAGACCCAGGTTTCTGTCTGATACCATATTTCTTCTATCCAAATCGCTTTTTTTTTTTTTTTTTTTGAGTTGGAGTCTCACTCTATTGCCCAAGCTGGAGTGTAGTGGCACACTCACAGCCACTGCAACCTTGACTTGCTGGGCTCAGGTGATTCTTCTGCCTCAGCCTTCCAAGTAGCTGGAACTACAGGGATGCGCCACGGTGCCTGGCTAATTTTTTTATTTTTATTTTTTTGATTTATTGTAGAGGTAAGGTCTCACCAAGTTGCCTTGGCTGGTCTCAAACTGGTGGGCTCAGTCAGTCCTCTTACCTTGGCCTCCCAAAGTGTTGGAATCATAGACATGAGCCACCATGCTCTGCCCAAATAAATTTTTTAAACTTTTTTTCATAATAAAACACTTTTTATGAATTCTGTTTTTGTTTGAAAAGGTTTTTATTTCATTTTAATTTTTGAAATTTATTTTGCTAAATATAGAATTCTGGGTTGATTGGTTTTTTGCCTTATTTATTGTTTTTCTTTTTTTTTTTTTGAGTTGGAGTCTCACTCTGTCGCCCAGAATGGAGTGCAGTGGCCGCTCCTGGTCACCGCAGCCTCGACCTGCTGGGCTCCGGTGATCCTTCCGCCTCAGCCTTCCAAGTAGCTGGAACTACAGGTGCGTGCTACTACGCCCGGCTAATTTTTTGATTTATTGTAGAGATGAGGTCTCGCCAAGTTGCCCAGGCGGGTCTCAAACCCACGGGCTCAGGCAGTCCACTCACCTCAGCCTCCCAAAGTGCTGGGATTACAGGCTGAGCCACCGAGCCCGGCCTTTTTCTTTTTTGAGTTGGAGTCTCACTCTGTCGCCCAGACTGGAGTGCAGTGGCCGCTCCGGGCCACCGCAGCCTCGACCTGCTGGGCCCTGGCAATCCTTTCGCCCCAGCCTTCTGAGTAGCCAGAATTACAGACGTGCACTACCACACCCGGCTAATTTTTTGATTTTATTGTAGAGATGAGGTCTTGCCTGCCCACGTGGGTCTCAAACCTGCGGGCTCGGGCAATCCACTCACCTTAGCCTCCCAAAGGCGCAGGATTGCAGGCTGAGCCACCGAGCCCGGCTGTTTTTCTTAAATAATTTTAAGGAGGTCATTAAGTTGTCTTCTGGCTTGCATGGTTTCTGAAGATAAGAAGACTGTGATTCTTACTCTTGGTTCTTCTTTATTTAACATGTCTTTTCCCCCTCTGACTACTTTGAAAAAACTTTCTTTTAATCTTTGTTTTTAGTTTGTTGTTGTTGTTGTTGTTGTTTTTGAGTTGGAGTCTCACTCCTTGCCCAGACTGGAGTGCAATGTTTTTTTTGTTTGCTTGTTTTGAGTTGGAGTCTCACACTGTCACTCAGGCTGGAGTGCCGTGGCACGCTCATGGCCACTGCAGCCTCAACTTGCTGGGCTCAGGTTATTCTTCCACATCAGCCTTTCAAGCAGCCGGAACTATAGGTGTGCACCACCATGCCTGACTAATTTTTTGACTTACTGTAGAGATGAGGTCTTGCCAAGTTGCCCAGGCTGGTGTTGAACCTGTGGACTCAGGCAATTCTTTCACCCAAAGTGCTGGGATTATAGGCGTGAGCCACTGCGCCCAGCCGGTTTTGGTTTATTTTTGGCATTTATCCTGTTTGGATAGATGATCTGAGTTTCTTGGATACTCGTGGGTTTATTCATTATTTTCGGAAAATTCTTGGTCATTATGTCTCCAAATACTTCTTTTTTCCTTTTGAAATTTTAGTTACCTACTTGTTAGACAATTTGATGTTGTCCCACAGCTCTTGGACGCTTTTTTTTTTTTTTTTTGTTGGGGT